TTTATTTTTTATTGAATAAATAGTTGTTTTTCCAGGGGAGGCGGCGATTCATGTTCTTGTAACGATACTAGGAAATATCAGAGACAATGCCTTTTTGCATAAAACCACATTGTACGTGACAATTGGCGGCCTACCGTTCAGCAGGCGCATCCACCATACATTCAAAAAATAAAGGAAATTGTAAAATATGGTGAACGTGTACTGTAAATAGTACGCCGTTCAATTTTTTAAGCTTTGAATTGTTAAATAGTTCCCCACTTGACGGGTACCGGATGACACAACTCCTCAATACCAAGATAACTGGAAACATCAGTTAAACTTGAACCAAATGGCACACGGTAGGGTAGTAAGAAGTATGTATATTCGCATTGCATGGTCTTTCCTTTGCAAATATTGAAAATAAATAACAAAAAGCAGTTTTTGCAAAATTGCTGAGGTTGAACTTGCTTGATAAGAACTGACTTTCTCAGACCTGGCCCATCTTATCGAGATCAAATCTGTGAATCTGGTCTGTATGAATCACCAACTTGTCTCTGAGCAAGAAATGAATGCAACAAATCCATCCTATCCCTGGACCTATTAATCATATAGCTTTGTTGGTATGTAGGCCATCCGGTGTCGCCAATTGATTAACACTAACAAAGACGATTAGCAACAATATGATCTTGAATCGGATTCAATTAAAGCAGTGGCTGTATAACAAATGGCGCATTCCCCGCAAGCTCAATACCGATGCTGTTTGCCGCGGTCGCATAATCAACGTGTAGGACGTCTGCTGTTGGTTGCTACTGGTGATAAATTAATTAGCAGATAGACTGCGTTTCAGTGTGTGTGTGTGCTCGAGAAGCTCGGAGAATATTGCATATGTGTGCGCAGATAGCATGGACCAGGGGCGCGCATTGAGCAATGTTTCAGCGACCCAGAATCCACAATTCCATTTGTTCTTCGAAAGTTTCATAGTAGCTTCTTGGCGAAAAGCAATCGTCATTATTCAAGAGCAGATTGAAGTAGAGATCGACTGATATAGAATTTTCGCCGATACCGATACGTTAAGAGGCCGGTATATTGGCGCTTAGTCTTGTTTCAAACACACTCGGCTGTATTTCGGTTCGGTAACCTTGAGTAAAGCATATGGGCCGTAAGCGCGTCTATTAAAGTCTAGTACTCTACAAAAAATGTGAAAAATAATGCAAAGTAACGCTATCCGGACACAGTTCAACAGAATTTTCGGTCAATAGACTGACAAATTTGATATTGCAATTTGTGATCTGTACCGAAATCATATTTCTTTGGGTGGCAGATGGAAAGGAAATGAATTACCTGACTAATGATAGCATTAGGCAATCAGCAATTTTCTCTCACTAATGATATTGATTTCACTCGTTTATTTCCTTATTTTGGCCTACCATAAGACAAGTATTTCCATGAAATTATCATACCTGATACATTTTAAAGTTGCAAAGCATAAGTGCAAGAGAAAACATCAAGTGATCTGAAAAAGTTCATTAGCATCAGATAGCGAACATTTTTTTTAGGTTGGGCAACAGTTGCGATGTCAAACGAAGGAGGATGACTCCTGACAGGGCAAAAGCTTTGTTAGTTCCTGTCTAAATTATATTTAAAATGTTTTAGCCACATTGTTTTTGATAGCACTTTTCTGTCTAGTTTTGAGGGACCACTTGCCAAAGCGCCTCATCTCAATTAGGGGTGATTTGGAGTAGCTGCTCCACTCTCCCGATTTGGGCCCCTCTGATTTCATCTGAGGGTTTTTTGAAATGCCGTCTTTTTAGAAACCGCCCAAGGACCCTATAAGATTTAAAGACCAACATCCAGGAAGAAATTGCCAGCATAATGCCCCACTATGCTGGCAAGAGTCATGACAAACCCCAGAAATCGGAGATCTTCCAAACTATGTAAAACAAAACTTAGGCATACGCCTACATTATAAAAAACAAATAAAAATGTTCTGATTGATACAACAGGTTTTATTAAGTTACGAAAAAAGGAAGCTATGCTGCCGCACCTGTATTACCTGTTTTTAACCATTTGCCAAAAAGTTGAGACTGATTATGGGGGTTAAGTATAGTTCTTTTATACATAATATGTGTAAGGACATGACAGATTAATGCAATTAAAGAAAATATTAAACGCTATTTAGCATGGCTTATATCGGTCTAGATCGACATATGGGAAGCCATATCGGCCCATACATGTATCGGCAAAATAGGTCGGTATTGCCGATATGAATATGGGTATCGGTCGGTCGATCTCTAGCTTTAAGTATAATGTAAAGTTTATATTTTACATACCTACAATATGATTTTCGATATGTGCTTTCTACGAATAATTTGTGTTTTTGTTCTAGGCTGACCAGATGAGTCTCTTGATTCAAATCCACTCTGATATTCTCCAGGCCAGTAAGGAAGAAAACCATAAGATTCTTGGGATGCTATAGGATTATAACGCATTGCGCCTTTGCAGAGATATCAAACGGTGTGGTTTCAATATAAAATATTAACTATTTACACTCAAAAATCAAATACTCTGGAGAGACTAATTCACAAAACATTCTAACATAAGGATTTAGAAAATATTTTTAACGAATTTATCCTGTCTTATCTCTCTGTTCAAGTCGCCTTCTATTCCTGGCATCTTGTTTGCCATTAAAAGTCTTGCTGATACTCTGAGCGAGTGTCCCCCGTTCGTGTTATTTGTTTTTTCTATTATTTCTGTCAGCGGTTGTCTATTTGGTATGCTTTCTGTGTAGATCTATATGTAGTAAACGCGTATATAATTCGTTACTGGTTAATGGACCGAAAGCCTAGTGCCAATCTAAATTCAAATAACGCGTGTATATATATATATATAGAGAGAGAGAGAGAGAGAAAGGTATATAACAAAAAATGGGAAAATAATGGGCAAAATCCGCAAAAAGAAGGAAAGTGGATTCAAGCAGAAAATAAGATAGGTAACCCGAGCGATACGTATTTCTGCTGGTTGGCTTCATCAGGCCCGAAATGAATGCATATATGTAACTACAAAAGTAGATGGACATGCCCATACATCCGGATATGGGTGTAACCTAAGGAAACGAAGATGGAGAGGGGAAAAAATCACACACGAAGTCCACAACAAGAGCCAACCTACACATTGTAGTATAAAATGACTAGAAGACCTCGAATTTTCAAATAGACATCTAACCACAACCACGTGGCCGGTTATAGCCACTTGCTGTGGTACTTCAAGCCCAAAGAATCTACAAAGAGAAAATGATCATGCGGAGAAAGGTACATAACAAAGAGTAGGAAAATCGTATCCGGATGTGTGGGCATGTGTATCTACTTTTGTAGTTTCATATGTGTATTCATTTCGAGCCTGATGAAGCCAACCAGCAGAAATACATTTCGCTCGGGTTACCTATCCTATTTTCTGCTCGAATCCACTTTCCTCCTTTTTGCGGATTTTGCCCATTATTTTCCCACTTTTTGTTATGTACCTTTCTCCGCATGGTCATTTTCTCTTTATATATATATTTTCTTAAAGCTTTCAGTGACTCTTGTATCAAGACAACTGATTTGACATAGCAAATAATCCATACTTGTTGGATCTGTAGGTATATTGCCAAGCCCAATATTGGATTGCAAATTGTTAAAACATTATTTTGAACAAGTCTCAAGAATTTTTTCGCTCTGAACGATGTTTTTTAGGTATTATGAGCCACTGCGAACAAAAAGGAAAAAAGCCTTTTTCTATAATTGAAAATATTCAAAATATGAGCGACTAAATATATGGAAAATGCGAAATATGACATTTTCGTCTCTGAAAAATCATACGAAAAAACAAAAATTTTGATGTTGCTAAAGTGTCTAAACATTCTTCAAGCATCCGTTACCAAAATCTCAAAGTATCTTTGCCGGAATTCTCAATGTATATATCTCTGCCACTCTCAGTGAGCTCGAGAGATCGGGCATTGGGGCTTTCTCTCGTATATACATGCACTGAATGAAAATGAAAAAACAGTTTTCAATGAGAATATCTCCTGAAATGCATCTTTAAAGAATATTAAGCAACTTTGGTATCATTGAAATTTCCATTTTTCTGGGCTGAAAATGACATATTCCGTACTTTTCAAAATAATAAGTCGGTTATCTGTAAATTTTAAGGAACAAAGTTCATAAGAACCATTTTTTAGCAGGAACTATATACCTGTCTGGTGCGGAAAATATCTATTTTGAACTTTATTTGAAAAAATAAATTAAACAATTCTTAACACAGATTTGAGCCAGTGGGCTCGTTAAAAGGGCTACTTTTATACTGCGGATCCGACTGGACTCTCATATTGCCGTTGGCTTTCAGCCTAGCCCATACTGCCAACTCGAGTCTTCAGCAGTTGAACTCAATAAGGATCCCATGTGGAAGAAATGTTAACTTTTTTAGTATCCCTTTATAACTTAGCACGCCCTTGTGCGGTACTAGCATCAAGTAACAATGCATGCGACGTACGAGCGACGAGCGTCGCCTAATCTGACACCGAACGGACACCCTATTGCACCTATCGGACTAGTTGATAGTGTCCCGTGATTTACTGGTTTGCATATCGGGGACCATTGAAAAGGTAATTGAAATCGAGCGCAGTAATCGCACATGATGAAAACAATTCATCAATGCTCTCGGCCGAGGCCACGGTAATCGATAGAGTGGCCAGAGTAACGCCGGCCGATTGCCGGACGTTGGTCGGCTAGAAGTTCGGATGTGTACGTGAAAACGCAAACGGTGCTCAGGTGATTCGGGACGATCAGAATATCAGAAACATAGGCGGAGATGAGATGCTATGTGATTTCACAGAAATACGAGACCAGCCACTGGAACAGTATAAGAAGCATTTCGAAAATCGTATTATGTTATATGACATAATACATGTCGAAAAACCATGTCACTCATTTCCGTCGGTCAGTCTGTCTGTCCGCTAAGTCTTGGTTCGTCTGTTACTTGCAAAGCAGTATCTGCTGGGAAAAAGCTAGGCTATTTGTTTAGGCCTAAGAAATACTTTTCTTCGCATGACCTTCTCACTCTATGCAAAGCCCAGATAAGGAATAGCCTCGAGTATTGCTCACACGTTTGGGGTGCTGCTGCCTCGACTACATTGTCCATCCTCGATGCTGTCCAGAGGAGGGCGGTCCGACTGATCGATGACTCTTCTCTAACAGACAGTCTCGGGACACTTTCGCACCGGCGGGCTGTCGGCGATCTAGATCTTTTCTACCGTTACACCAACGGGCTTTGCTCCTCACAGCTCTCTCGCATGATGCCGCCGCGCAATATGCCTGCTAGGCAGACCCGCCTGACTTTGGCGTCCCATCCTAACCGTGTCGAACTTCGTAAATCAACAACTGGCCGATACGACCGCTCCTTTGTCCCGAGGGTGTTGAGAGTGTGGAACAATCTACAAGAGGAAGCTTTTCCCAGTTCTACTAACCTTAGGCAGTTCGAAAATCGTATTAACAAAATTTCTTTCGATCATCATAGCAGCCGCGGTGTTCCGGCTTCTACCTGCGCGGCTGCTTCGATATATATAAAAAAAGTACCGGTAGGATATTGATGAACCTTTTATGCAAGGTTGCTACTGTGCCAAATGCCAAAAAAGCGTTGCACTTTTTGAAAACCCGTCCAGTGGCGGCGGAGCTGTAGGAAAAAAGCTAAAAAAAATACTGCTGACACTTCCCTTTTTTGGCATTTGAGATCCTAATCGTATACAAATTTTTTAGTGCTAGCAATTTATACGCCAACCACCCCGGTAAGTCTAGGCAGATATTAGACGTATAGAGGGTGCGCCATCTTTTATGTCGGTAAGTAAACATGAAATAACTTTGAAAACCAAAAACTGATTTCTACGTAGTCGTGCCATAAGTTCTGTCCCATGATAATCTCATGATAAAAATGAAACAAGATAAGATATATTTATATGAAAGATATTATTTATTCGACAACATTTTTAGAATTCATAATCAAACAGTTTTATTCAAAATGTCCCCCCTTGGCCTTCACACACTGCTTCAATCTCGCGGGCCACTCATCTATCACTGCACGCACAGCTTCCAAAGGAATAGCTGCCGCTGATCGGATCAAATCCGCTTTCAGGGACTCGATATTACGGTGGGCTTTGGAGCAGGCCAACTGCTCTAGCAGGTCCCACAACTTGTAGTCTAAAGGTTTGAGGTCCGGACTCCCTGAGGGCCAATCTTCCGCAGCAATGAACTCTGGCACATTGCTTTCCAGCCAGCGCTGCGTACTCTTAGCCTTGTGAGCGGGGGCGGAATCCTGCTGGTAGACCCAGTGTTGGTTGGCAAACAATGTACCACTTAAAGGCTTGACGATAGGATCCAGTATGTCGCTCTGATAGTTTGCCGCTTTTGTTTTCACGCCCTGTTTACAGAAATGGAGCTGAGTGACCCCTTCGTAGGACACCCCCCACCAAACCATGACTGACGCAGGGTGGTGGCCTCTCTCAACTCTCGGAATGATCTCCGAAGCTTCCTGTGAACTCCTTGCATACACTTTGTCATTTTGTCGGTTGAATTTTTCTTCTATGGTGAAGATTTTCTCATCCGTGAACAAAATCTTTCGGAATCCCCCAGCTGCGTACCTCTCCAAGAGCTTCTTGGATCTTGTCGCCCCTATGTGTCGCAAGGTGGCCGTAAGTCGCTGGCCCGTACGTCTCCGGTAAGCCCCTAGCCCTAGGTCTTGTTTAATGATGCGCGACATCGTCCGGACAGGAATCTTCATTTCCCTGGATAGGATCTTCTGCTTCCGGAGTGGATTCCTTTGAATCCTGGCTTTTACGGCTTTGATGGCTGCTGGAGTCCTTACTTGACGAGGTCTTCCGCTTCTTGGCCTGTCATCAACAGAGGACGTCTCATTGTACCGCTGGTCCTAGACACAAATTTACGCGATATTTGAAGGCCGCGTAAAAGTTCAAAAATCTGACTAGCACTGTGATTACACTTATGTAAAGCTATCACTGCAATACGGTTCTCTGCCTTGCCCCACTCCATCGTTATGCTTCGAGAGATCAATACAAACTGAGGTATATGTAATTACCCGAAAAGCGCTTAATCAACTGACACCACAATGTAAACAATCGGACAAATATTAACAGGTCTACACTTGTTTGAAAACGAGGGACAGAACTTATGGCATGACTACGTATATATCGGGTATTTTTATTAAATATGGTCCTTTTACAATTTATTGGGACCAGTTTTTGAACACAACATCTATCAAGTTGGACAAAACAAAATGTGTCCGTTTTGCTGCGTTTTCCATTACTCTTTGAGCATATCTGGTGGTATAGCGGCGATTGCGGTACGAATGTTTGTCTTGAGTTCTTCAGTGGTCAGAGGCTTGCTGGCGTACACTTGACTTTTCAAATAACCCCACAAGTAGAAGTCCGGTGGGCTCAAATCTGGAGACCTGGATGGCCAGTCAATGTCACCTCTTTTTGACATCAGACGTCCAGGGAATTTTCGTTGCAGAAACTGGATTGTTTCATTTGCAGTGTGGCATGGCGCACCGTCTTGTAGAAACCAGTAACCATCAAGACCTTTTTTCACGCATTAGTGGGCAGACATAATGAGCCAACATCCACCGATATCGATTTTCATCCACTGTTTCGTTTTCGTTGAAGAAAAATGGCCCAATACTTTCCGGTCATGCAACGGCACTTCGTGGATCTCATGTGGATTTTCTGTCCTCCAAATGCGGCAGTTTTGCTTATTAACGCCGCCAGAGAGCGTGAAATGGGCCTCGTCGGTCATCACAATTTGCTTCCAAAAATCAGGTTCAGCCTCAACCATGCGAGCGACTGTTTGGGCATATTCCAAGCGACGTGGACGGTCAGTAGGCAATATTTTTTGTGTTAACTGCACCTTATAAGGAAACAAATGTAAATCATCCTTCAAAATGCACCGCAACGTGGTTCCACTGATGCCAAAATGCTGAGCGCGTTGACGATACGACACTTTTGGGTTCTGGGCAACGCTGTCTCTGACCGCTTCAACTAATTCGTTGGAACGTCTTGGTCGTTGTTGGACGATATGTTGACGATCTCCCACTGTTCCGTACTAAAGAAAAATCGAAACCAAACGACCGATAGTGTTGTCAGACGATGCCTGTTTGCCACGATATTTTCGACCATATGCACGTTGCGTTAACACAACTGAACGACGATTTTCAATGTACATTGTGACTATTTCGGCGCGTTGTTTCGGTTAAAATTGTATTAAATCGACGTTTCAGAAACACGTATAACCAAATCACTCGGTTGGTAAATATCAAAGTCATTCGATGTTTCAATACCGGCATAAAAGAAGGCGCATCCGGTATCATACTTCATAAATTTGCCCTTGAAGCTTGAATGATAGATCTATATGTTTCATATACGCCAGTGGCGGTTCTGAGACTTAACATCAGGGGGGCTGAAAGAAATTCGAAAAAGTTAATCACATTTTTTTGTGCATTGTATTTAAAGTATACTTTTACATTGCTTCGTGTTCCAGTACCATACATAAGATACGAGTATCCATACAAGATTATCAATAAAGATCTTATTTATGTAAAAACTGCATTTTAAGAATCTACGTCAGTCCAGTCCAACGTTTCAAGTCAACGAGGTTTGACTTGACAAAATGTTTCAGCGACTTCTCTAACTGAAACGTCAATTTCTCTGTGACCCGAAGCTAGCCCATTAAGTCTAGGCTCAGACATTTTTACACGCAGTTAGCTTTTCAATCTCTTTAGCAGAGAAAAGTCCGTTCAGCAGTTGCTGAGGTGACAGGGATCGTTGAAAATATTTGCAGTAACGTTTCTACGTTGGAAAAAAATGATTGAGTCCACTAGATTTGATGTTCTGTAGTGTCTCAAGTGCAGTTTGGACTTTCTTTAATTCGCCGTCTTTACAATTCTTGTGCCACAAAATAATTTCTTGTTAGAGCTCTGTTTCGTTGCATTCTTTCATATCGTTTTCATATATTTCCGCTGCTTTCACAATTTCTTTAACCGTGTGTTTTGTATGATCTGGCTGGCATCAAACTCTCTAGAGCCATAATATCCAAAAACTTTCCCTTAAATCTTGAGCTCAAAATGACATCATGAAACCGAGGAATAGATAGTACACGGAGGACCTGAAAAAACATCGAATAAACGACAAAAGATGCTTCATTCTTTCTTGTTGCGAGTAACTAGCCGATAACTGGCAACGTGAGCACAAGCTGATTAAATTTGAAGTTCTGGTGTCTGGAGAACCCTGATCAGTGTCATGATTGGAGCATTGAATGTTGTGAAGACTCGCAGAGAGATAAGGAATTCGGTTTTCCCAATTGCACTCATTAGTTGTGTCGCCTTAGATGATGTCTCACAGTCGAATTTCCGAATATACATTATGTACCAAACTGATGATGCTGGTGATTCACGATTTCATCTTGCACACTTGCAATCACTCAACGAGAATAACTTAAATTATAATAAACCCGGCACTACAAAGTTAATAAAAATAGACGTGTTGCGCAAAACGTAGTGATTTTGTTTTTTGCATCACACTGCATCAGCCTTAACTGTTTCAGTGTGATGCACATTGTTCGAGGTAAACTAATCGATGTACTAAAAATAAATCGATTATTAATCCCGGATCATTGGGTTTCGCGGGGGAGGCTTAAGCGCCCCCCTGGACCCGCCACTGATATACACGTGTATGAAGTGAGCGATGATGAGTGTAGCCGTGTATGCAACGCCGTGCTGGGATTTCAAACAGTGTCGCCAAACCTACCGATTTTACGGTGTTTCTACCTTATTTACAGAAATACCGAAAACGTCCTGATTTTCCACGTTTTTTTTTTTAAATAATATAGATACATAGATTTTTTACCGAAAAAGAGCTAGAACCGAAAACACGTCGTAGCCTAATTAGTTTTATGCCCCACACCATCATACACAATGCGGTATTATTATTATAAACATGGTTTAATTAAACATTAAATTAATATTAATATCACGTTCAGTGGTATAACAAAAGTATTCACAATCTTATAACCAAGGATGGAGTACGGAGTTTACAGGGTTGTTTGAAGAGCGACCAGTAAGTACATTGAACAGGTTGTAATAAAGAAGTCAATATTTTTTTAGGAAAAGATAGCATCAAAAACCTGTGTTGTGTATGCGCGCTAAAAGCAAAAATATACTTTATTTCATACGCGGCGCTGCTTAATGCAGAGGTCCTTGAACCACCGTTGAAGTTACGACGGCCCTCGTTTTTTTTCTGCTACAGATTTTGTCCACAAATTTACCAAATTCGGCAACACTGTTTGCAAGTACCGAAGCAGGCGGAGTTTCTACGTTGCTGGGTGGTCGGTTCTATCGATAGGCGGTAGGCTACATCGCGATGTTGTTAAATCTGTGGGGACTAAGGACTGTTAGACTGACATGATTCATTTAATTCTTGTAGCAAATATTTTCTTCTAAAAGAGACCAACTTGTGCCGAATTTAATTAATCCTATATGAATTGATGGATATACGGAGCTTGAAACCTAAGCTATGATTCCCCGCCA